TTTCTCCCTCATTGCCTCGTTTATTTCTCAGACACCCCATGGAGAGAATCTCAGAATTCTACAGGTAAGGAAACTACAGCTCAGAAAGGATTCTCCGAGGCCAAGTGGCTCATACGTGACAAAGCCAGTCATGAGAACCAAGATTTTGAATGCCAAGATAAGCATTCTCCCTCCTATCCTCCCGCCCCTACAGCTGCCGCACTGTCCAAACTCCAGCTCAGTCTGTACACGGATGCACCCTCAGATTGTGACAATGCGCCAGAGATGGGCTTTCCCACCCACTATCAGTCATCCTGCACAAGGGTCCCTCTTTCTACACAGACTTGTTCACTTATAGGAACAATGACCACCATTTATGTCTCTGTAAGTACATCTCTAGGCAGCTGTCAAGTCCTGACTCACTTCCTCTGGACCAATGACTATCCTCAGCTCCAGGCCTGCATGTGGTCGTCCCCGGCAGGTGAAGTTCAGGGCCAGTCCCCTCACCTCTGCTGTCCTGGATGGGAAAAGCTCCCAACAAAAACTGGAGGCCCGCCCCAGGCCTGGCTCAAGCTCCAGGGATAACCCAGGAGGGGGTGGAGGGAGTGGTCTGGAGAATCCAGTCCGGTGATTAAGCTGCCTTCTGTGTCACTGGGAGTCAGGTAGGCAGATCAAACAAATAGGGCAGGACATTTGGGGTGGAGGCTGGTCTGGCCTGACTTTTAATGATGGATATTTCTGGAACTCTGTTTTATAGCCAACCTGGGGTGATCATATCCGCATAACAAAGGATAATTTGTGTGAGCACTAGGCACGCCTTTAGATGGGTATTTAAGTTACATTTTTAGAGTTAGATGGGTTCTGGGCTCAGCCAGTCTTCACTTCACAGATAACCCCACCGACTTGCAGTTTAAGTGACTTGCCCAAGGGAGTACTAGTCAGTCTTAGACATTACATATCTGAGCTCCAGCATCCACAAGTTTGAAAAACAATCCAATCGCCACAAGGCTAAAACAAAACCATGAAAGCAGATGGGGGTGTTCACTGTCCGGTTTTCCCCTCTGGAATGTTCACACAATGTGACAACCGAACCAAGGGTCAGGCCAGCAGGCTAAACCCACCCTGACCCGTCCCTGGCTTTTGGAGAAGCCACAGGGGAGCCAGGAACATGCCTTGCATGAGATGCCTTATTGGCTAGGTGCACACCTGCTGCACACCCACTCAGCTGAGCTTGCTAATATGAATAATCTGGTAGCATTATTTTGGATTTCAATAGACCACAGAAGTCAGAAGACGGTGGCCCAAGCCCCCTCTCTGCCATTTACTAACTATGTGAGCTTGGGACAGATTTGAGCCTTAACATTTACATCTGTAAAACAGTAAGAACAGCGTCACATCTATTTAAAGGGGTCCTGGGAGGTTAAAACAAGACCAGATGTATTGCCACAATGGAGTTTGCTACTCGGAGCAAAAATTACGTAATTCTTTTTCCTTTAGCTTCTTGTAATTTAGAAGGCCATTTTAAAATAACATTATTGAGATAGTTTACATACCATAAAATTCACCGTTTTTAAGTGTATGCTGCAATGGTTTTCAGTAACAATTGGGTAACTTTCCCCCCTATTATCTCCAGCTTTCCTCTTGTCCGCCCGGGAAGCATTCATTCACCATCCAAAGCTAAGTTCACAAATGGACTCCCCAGTAACATTCTGTCCTTTTAATAGAGCACATTTTTCTTTGCACTGTAATTTTTTCATGTATCCACTTTCCCTCTCAGCAACTATGGATAAGACAGGGATAGTGATTCCTAACATTTACATGGCACTTTACAGTTTATAGACAGACCACTTTCTGGATAGGTGAGTCTTCTGATCTACTTTTGTATCCTACACTGCACTCTCTTCCTATTTATGAAATTAGTGAATGGCAGTAATTTGAGCTCTTCTGAACCCAATTCTAAAGATTCCCTCTCAAATCCCCCAAAAGCACACTTGCATCAGAGAGAGCTTTTTTTTTTTTAAGGTTGTCTTGCTAAAGCAAATATTCTAAAGACCGAAAATAACAAGCATAGTCCAAGCAAAGGAAAACTTTTGGAGCCACAGTTGATCTTTGCAGTCACCCAGACACCAAGCGCAAATCCAGCTCTGATCTCCACTAGCCTCCGAATCCCTTCCCGATCTTTCCCCCTCACCCAAATCCACGAAGGCCCAATGATCTGGTGACTCAGAAGAGTAAAAGTGAAGAGTTCAGGCTATGTTGGAGATGGTAAAATATAGTTCTTGCCCTCAAGGAGCCTGCAACCTAGTAGTTCAAGTCAAACAATATTTCTTTGCCTTTCCGCAAGCACCCTGAGAGGTAGGCAGTGTTGTTAACCCCATTTTATAGAGGAGGAGCCTGGCTCGCCCAAGATCACCCCAGGTACGAGGAAGTGTTGAGACCCACACCAGGTCTTTTAACTCAAAGTCTTTTGCCAGGCAGTAAATGCTGCTGCTGCTGCAGCTCAGAGATTTGGAACTTGAGAAGGAAGACATTCTAGTTGAGGGAACAAGATAACAATGTCATGGACAGTGAATCATTTGAATTGGACCTTGGAAGATGGGCAGGGTTTTGATAGCAAGTTGTTTATGTGGCTGGAGAGCAGGTGCCCTTCACAGTGCTGTGGATGAAACACAGACAAGGTGCCGGAGATCGGATCAGAGATGGCCCACTCCAGACTTCCGCACAGGTAATGTGGCATCCGTCAAACACCATGAAAAGCATCCCTTTTAGGAAGAGTGGAGGGAGAGGAAGGGTTACCCCGGAAAAGAGAGATCTTACTGTCTTCCTGGCCAGAGGGACTCTTTGTTCTGGGTAATGTGACAAACACTGGAGGAACACAAAGACCTATTCAGCAAGTCGTTTTCTTTCTGCCACTTGCTAATAATAAAAAAAACCGTTTCCCTTGATTACTGTGTTAGTAAGATAACTAACTGATCACGGCATCAATCAAGAAATGGGAGAGACTGGGAAAGATTACCCACATTCACTCCAATTTCAGAGGGTTATACCTCAGTGCTCTCAGGCTGACAGATTATCCCAATCTTGATCTCCTCAGCAAAAGCCGTTTTAATGGCGTTAATTCCTACCCAGGCTTCATTATGATCCAAGTTCCTCAAGAAAAAGCTTATAAAAATTAGTCAAGAGAGATGTGTACTACTTCTCAAAACCACACACATTATTTGGATAACCACGAGATTTAAAAACCACGCAGTCTAGTGATGTTATTTTATCATCTGTAAAAATGAAAAATTAAGGAAAGCAAAATCTCCCCCAAATGTATTTCAGGCCTCATGAAGAAGTTAGTCAGTAATTCTGTGAGAGAACTATATCAGTGCTCAGACTGAACCCAGCTGAGCAGCCACCACTGGTGAGAATTCTAAAAGCAGGACCCCCGCCCCCCATCTGTTGAGGTGTACTGAAAGCCTTTGTAGACATGAGGGAGTTAAACTTCATAACAACAGACGTGCTTCCAGTTCAGATTTACAGAACTTCTTGAGGCTTCCAGGTGTTTTGCAAGAAACTTGTAACCTAAGACCTATCACAGAAGTCCCAGGAGGAGAGGCACTCATTGGCCACCAGCCTTGGCTACTACCTTCAGGTAAAAGGATTTCAGAGATAAGTTAAAGCTACTTAACAATGTGAGGCCTGCCTATTAGATCCTGACCTAAAACTCTAGAGAAACTGAACAGCTGTATTTTCAAAGCAAATCATGCTACTATTTCTTGAGTTTTCACTATGGTGATGAGGTCTCTCTGCACATCATGTTACTTAATAACGCCAATAATTGTAAGAGGTATTGTTTATCTTCAGAATAAATCAGGCTTGAAAGAGCAATGTGCCCAAAGCCACAGAGCTAGCAGGTGGTCTAACGGCTGACCCCACTCCAAACCACCTCCTGAAACCTGCTTTTCTCTGCCTCCCCTCCCAACCAAGCAGCAGATGTGTGCGCCTCCACAAGCCCACGCTGCTGGGGCTCCTCCATATGCACATACAGGAGGCCCTTCCTGGGTCAGCATCATCTGTCCCCTGCAGAAGTCTAAGGAGAGGTTTTTCTAGTGCAGGAAACCCTTAATCTGCCTTCCTGTGTGACTCACTATCCCCTCGTCACTGAGACGCCTATGAGTAGGCACGAGGGCACGGGATTCCCAGAAGTTCACACTTTCATCTGCATCTGCATCTGCAGCACTATATCCTCAGATGTTCCCCCTGACCCCCAGTTTTAAAAGAGAAAACTGTAGACACAGAAATAAGAGTGAGGCACTCATGCCCAAGGCGACTAAACCAAGGGAAAGCCGACCTGGAGTCAGGACTCTGAGTTCCAGGCCCCATACTCTCCAGTTCTCTGACAAGGAGAAATTCAATTAACTGCTGCACCTATGGGCCTCAGTTTCCACAGATGTAAAGGGGGAAGAAGCAACCTGCACTCTTTAGAAGACTAAGCTGCCTTATGTAAAGTTCTCAGGTCTGTTCCAATTTGGTGCCTGATGGATTGTTTCTTTTATTTACCTCCCCCGCCCCACACACATTCATCTTCAGGGGAGGAGAAGGAGAAATAAAGTGGTCAGATCTTCTAAACAAATTTATAAAGAATCGTGTGCATGTGGCAGAATTAAAAAAAAAAACAACGAAGGCAGGTGAAATAAGTAAGATCTCTCTACACTCAACTTCCTCCTCCTGCTTCCACATCCTAAGCCGAGAAATTAGGTGACCACAGGTGAAATAGGCTCAAAACAGGTCAAACCACCAGCCCCCAGCTGCCACCCTCTTCCAGGCCACAGGGAAAAGTGTGTGGCTGGAGAAAGGCACCGGAGGGGTGGGGGGCCCTCCCGGGGCTCCATCGCTAGACCAACTTCCCCGGGACCCGCGGCTGGTCCCCTCGGCGGCCGGGGGGCACGTGAGCCCCTGCACAGCCCGCCCCGCTCCCCGACTCGCGGCCCCACCACGTCCCCCACAGCCCGCCCGGGTCGCCGGCGGCCGCTCACCTGCGCCGGGAAGAGCAGCAGCAGGAGGAGGCCGAGGGCGTGGACGCGCGCGCTCATGCTGCCGTGGCGCCGGGCTGCGGACGTTTTGCGGGGCTCGGCTCACGGGGACTGGGTTTTGGCGTCCCGGGGCTG